CAACATTCAGCTTCGAGGTCAAGGACGACGGCATTTTTGGAAAGAAATTTCGAATTTTGGAGAAGAAGCTTGCTTTCGGAAAAATGTTCCTTTCACGCAAGGCAGCATGCCAGGTCAGGCGTGTGAACCAGGTGAACTGTGTCGGCAGATCCACGTTTACGTTCCAGGCCGACAGTTTTTTGACCAAGCCGTGAATCGCCCTCGCTCTGACTCTCCCGGCTACGAAGGAGTAATTTTACAACTCTTCAGGCCAGCTACAGGTCTCTGATGCACAGCTGCAAGTGACGGATATCGGTCATTTGCAGCCACTACTAAGAGCCTCCTGGTCGTTGCAATCTGATACATAATATACCTCCAGACCCGGCAGACGTTTTGATCAGCCCGGCCTGGTGGTGAGATTTCGGACCCGGGAGTACTAAAAACTGCTCGCATCCCAGGGTGCTCAGTTTCGCTCTATCTGATCGAGTAAGGCTTCCAGAAAGGCCCTCAGGTGCGCGGCCTGCGGTGCCATAATATACCTCGTTGTCGACCATGTCAACACGATGGGTAGATTCTAATCAGGGAGTCGTAAAAGCCCGGGAGAGGACACGGCACACATTCCCAGAAAACATCTTTGCCTCGCGCTGCCGGGGAACGCTGCCAGGGAACGGTGTTGCGAGGCAAGGAAATTAATATTTTCGAAAATTGTGATGTCTTCTTGAAATACTAATTGGGACATTCTCCGATTTCTCTTAGAGCACGGAGACGATTGCTCCGTCGAGTCTTCTGATCTCTATTTTCATCCTCATCTTCCAGCTGCCTCACTCATTCTCTCTCAGTTTATCGAAGTTAATTTATTCTGAGGCGATGGAAATGCAAGACAAATCCCTAATTGTACTTCACTTTTATTTGAGTTGGGGTGAACGAAATGAGATTTGTGGAAAATGACGCCACTTCCCGTGTTAGCCGCTGGTCGTATCATACAGCCCATATTCCATTGCAGGTGATGGGCCAACGTTCGTGTTGAGATCCGCTGAGTTTCCTCGTACTCGTGGAGTTGAATTTGTGGCAGAAATTGCACTGAATTGCAGTCAAATGGTTGTGAATGAAACGAGATTTGTGGAAAATGACGCCACTTCCCGTGTTAGCCGCTGGTCGTATCATACAGCCCATATTCCATTGCAGGTGATGGGCCAACGTTCGTGTTGAGATCCGCTGAGTTTCCTCGTACTCGTGGAGTTGAATTTGTGGCAGAAATTGCACTGAATTGCAGTCAAATGGTTGTGAATGAAACGAGATTTGTGGAAAATGACGCCACTTCCCGTGTTAGCCGCTGGTCGTATCATACAGCCCATATTCCATTGCAGGTGATGGGCCAACGTTCGTGTTGAGATCCGCTGAGTTTCCTCGTACTCGTGGAGTTGAATTTGTGGCAGAAATTGCACTGAATTGCAGTCAAATGGTTGTGAATGAAACGAGATTTGTGGAAAATGACGCCACTTCCCGTGTTAGCCGCTGGTCGTAGCATACAGCCCATATTCCATTGCAGGTGATGGGCCAACGTTCGTGTTGAGATCCGCTGAGTTTCCTCGTACTCGTGGAGTTGAATTTGTGGCAGAAATTGCACTGAATTGCAGTCAAATGGTTGTGAATGAAACGAGATTTGTGGAAAATGACGCCACTTCCCGTGTTAACCACTGGTCGTATCATACAGCCCATATTCCATTGCAGGTGATGGGCGAAAGTTCTTGTGGAGATCCGCTGAGCTTCCTCGGCGTACTCGTGGATTTATGAATTTGTGTCAGAAATTGCAGTCGAGTGGACTTCTGTGCGTGTGTTGTGAGTAAATCGCGACGGCTCCCTTCCTTCAGCATCGTCAAAACGCAACATAGAGCAATATTACGCACTCGTTCCATGATTCATGATAATGCCTGGATTCTTTTAAAAACAATCAATGTGTGTTCCCTATCTATCTACATTGTACATGGTTGCAGGTCGTTATTTATAAATCTTGATAATTTCAACACTTTTCTACTCGTATACTGAGTACGCGGTGACTTGAGCCGTTTAGGAAACGGAAGTCTTGGCGAGTGTACAAAAGGTAAACCTATCATTTGTACTTCATAACGGAATTGTGCACAAAAATGCACACACACGTTCGCGCGCACACACACAAGCACACACACAAACACTGTACAAACACACACAAAAGTACAAGCACATGTGCACATACACACGCCTCCCCCCCCCCCCCCCCCACACACACACACTCAACTCCCTACCCCTGTACTGAGTCTGACAGACATACAATCATGTTTATCCTTCCTTCGCCACCAGTTTCGGATAATGGTGTCAACAACGAGTTGTAAAATATTGGTATTTTAGGACTCCCTGCCCTGAAGACAAGCACAGCGCCGTGGATCGAGCAGATCCGGCCGCGCCGGCCTAGCGTGCTTCACTTTCTGGCCGAGGCAAACATCGTCCGCGTGCGCGCATCCCGTGTCCTCTCCCGGGCTTTTACGACTCCCTGATTCTAATCTACGCGCGGGAGCGGCGGCCGGCGGGACGCCATACGAAGCGTACGTGCGTGGTGACAAGCGTCACTTTCCATTCCCATGACACTGTGCAGAGCCTAGACTAGAGTGCATTCGACGTTCGTCAACCAATACCGGTAGACTCTACTGGCAGCAGTAGAGGCATAACCAATATCAGTTGAGCTTAGTCGAGGCTGAGGCAGTGAGGGAAGCTTCGAAGGACACCATCAATGTCCGGGCATCAAGTCAAGGAGCACTCGCCAGCCGTAAAGCATTACTGTAGTTGAACTAACTTGAACTGTTGGCAGGGATTCGCCTTGTGAAAGGTGAATCTGACTCCCGGGCCTAGACCTGGGCCTGGGGCATACAGTATCCTTCTTCTTTTAGTTCCTTCCTCCCCTTCCCCAATTCCCATTCAGTGTAGTGTGCTAAGTCGCTCAGGAGAAACACAACAAGTCGCTCACACGCACCAAAGTCAAAGAAGGCGCCGCGGACGGTTTGCGCTGCCTCAACACTGCAACCACAACAACAACCACCACCACCACCACCACCACAACAACAAGTTGTCAACAACAACAAAAACAGCAGCAGCAACAGCAGCAACAGCAGCAGCAGCAACAGCAAGAGTACGACGTATGCGCCTGTGACAGCAGTGGCACTGCCAGGATCTAGGAGGTCAGGACATCTGTCTACTACAAGGGCGGGCATGAAGATACATGTATCAGATTGACAGCAACAATAGAGAAGAGATACCCATCATGAAAAGAATGCCGGGATGAAGAAGTGGAAGAGGAGGGAAGAGGACGAGCAGGAAGTCCAAAAAAGAAGAGGATGAGAAAGAGGATTAGAGAGGAAGAACAAGAGGAGGATGGATATTGTAGTATTTTGTAAACAGCATTGTGCTACTGTGAAGATCTTGCGCCCTGGATGTGGACTTCATCTGTCCTGCAGAAAACGACGACGCAGACGCATAAGCGGTGGAATTATTTACTAAAACCCAGCATTACTGGCATTCCTTCCTGAGTCCTTGCTTTCCAGTCGACGCATAGACATGAACAGTGTACATGTAGTCAGAGTGACAACTTCAACAAGAGGGTAAAACTAGCCGCTACAATTCTACTCTGCTTGTGCGGTTGTCACAAATAGCAATACTACTTGCCTCCTTCCTCTTCCTCGAGTCTACATCATGCACAGCCTATACCTACTCGGTTTTAGTTACTACAATGATGCAATTTCACCCTGCAGGTCCTTGCACACCAGTAGTTACACAAAAATTATTCACAGAGTCAGTAGATCTACATGAGGTCTAGATCAGCTTATCCCAGATAAGGGATTCCTGTGCCTGAACAAAATCTATTCTCAACTCGGAACTTGTGACGCCACTCATCCACTCTCGGTTTCCGGAGTCCGGTGCAGCATGGAATTTGGGCAGAAGGCGAAGATGCACTGTACACTGGCTCCCAGTCCCAGTCGGGAGTCCTTTTTGGGCGTGACTCCCTGCTCCCAGTGAACTTTACTGACTGTGCAAACTAAACACCTGGGCTTGGCTACTTGCACACACTTGGCACACGCAGCACGCCGGCTTGATACTCATACCGAGGAGCACCCAAGAGAATGATGGTTGTTTGAAAGCCACAATATAGTTTATGCTCTGTGCTGGTACAGAATCATGCACAATTTATGTATAATTACAAGATGACGGCTGGAAAACGGGATTGGGTTGCAAATGCGGGTGTTCAGTGTGCACTGGCATGCCGGAGCACAGCCGCAAAATTGGCTACTATGATGGGGAGTAATACACTGGGGACCGTGTGGAAGCAGAATATGTATCGCTGGTCACGGTCTGCAGCCAGCGTGACCAAACTCGGACAAAAGAAACCTACGCAGAGAGAGAGAGAGAGAGAGGGGATGGACATCATTGAGCGTGAAGGCTATCTCCATACTTGGCATCAGCAGCGCCAGCCTGGGCTGCACATTGCATGATACATTAGTAACAAGATGTTCCGTCACTCTTGGGCTTTCTTGCCGCAGGCCGGCCATGCATACCACAGAAAATGCAATGTAGCGACGTTTCTGTGCTCGGTGAACGTAAATCTCTATGATCATAATAACACCTACAGTGCATTTCAAAACTATAGACGCATAGGGTTTTTGAAATATTTCAAATTTGGCTGGAATTTTTTGAGAATAGTTTTCGGAATATTGCTCAGGATTGCTCCACAATTACTCTCATATAGTTTCTAAAGGATTGGATAACAGCCGCCCAATTTGGAAAAAATTATGCACAAAGTGATCACAGATTTTATGTGGTATAGATGCTGGCATAACGGTTTTTGCCTAGGTACGCGTCTATAGTTTTGAAATGGACTGTATTTTTTTTTAGTACAGTGGTGCAGTGGTGCCTTGGAAGTGCGGAAAAGTAAAACATGCAACACCTTTCTTCAGTTGACCGGCTGATTCCAAGTTCCCATCAGCATGTCTGCGCCCGGCAGTGTCTGGCGACTTAGATGGCAATGCTGTTAGGTAGCGTTGACGGCTTCATGTAAGCGTACTCCATGATGTTCTTAGACTTGCGGATAGCGTTTCTCCTCTCAATGACTCCCTCCACACTCATCTCGGTGGCCCGGGATTTGGGTGTGCCGTTGCCAACTAATAGAGTGCGGCAGCGTGATATCATGTCCTTGACTGGTTGACTGGCGTGAGTCATGTTCGGACCATAGGCAAAGAGGTCACTGAAGCGCAGAGATGCCAGCTGTGTTGCCGTCTCAGCTTGGAGCTGCACATGGCCACGCAATGGACAAGAAACACACAGGCAAAACATGGGTGATTGCATATGTGGCCACGGCTGATAGGTTACGGATATTCAGTGTCAGAGATACGCGTGCATGCATGTGAGTATAGGAATGTAGATTGGCAAACCCATGGATTACTGTTGAAAAATACTGGTGTGGAGGTGTGTAGCCTGACAGCTAGGTTTACAGCATGCATGATAGTGACCAAGTAACTATGATAATGATAGTCTGATGCAAAACAGGATGTCACTAGCGGGCGAGTAGATAGCAGGCGCACAGAGCCCGGATACCCAGGAACCAATTCAAAGTTCAAACGCACCCCTGCCGAGTACACCCCTGTACGAGTGGCATTGGTGATGGTGGTGGTGGTGGTGGTGGTGGTGGTGGTGGTGGTGGTGGTGGTGGTGGTGGTGGTGGTGGTGGTGGTGGTGGTGGTGGTGGTGGTGGTGGTGATGGTGTGTGTGTGTGTGACAGTGTGTGTGTGTGTGTGTGTGTGTGTGTGTGTGTGTGTGTGTGTGTGTGTGTGTGTGTGTGTGTGTGTGTGTGTGTGTGTGTGTGGACCATGGCGAGGGCGTGTTGCACGGAGCTCCCCAAACAAAACTCGCTTCGGCATACGGTCGTCGTTCATCTGGCCCAAGCAAGCGGTGGCGTGACGTCATCGTGGATGATCTCCGCTCCATCAGCCCCCCTGTGCCTTCTGACTGCTGGTTTGATGCTGCCCAGGATCGCTCTGCCAGGAGGCAGATTGCTCATCGTCGTCCTCCCGCCCGTGCTCCTCCTGATCCTGACTCTGGCTTCCGCTGCGCATGTGGAAAGGTCTGCCGTCGTCCCGGGGACCTCAAGCGACACGCTCCATACTGCAAAGCTAGCAGATAGTCCCTTCGCTATCATTGCCATCGGCAATGGGCACGTTCAAGGTTCAAGGTTCAAGGTTCAAGGTGTGTGTGTGTGTGTCACGGCATTTTGGACCATAAAAAGAGCATGTTACGTTTCCATGGATTTTTGTAGTTCTTCTAATCTCTTGCACTTCTGTTTTGTCATCTCCCCGGTTTACTCGCTTCTCTACAGTGGGTGGTGAAATTGTCATTAGGCAGTTTTCCTGTTCTGGTTGCCACACTCTACACAAAAAAGTGACAAAATACAAATACAAATACATAAAATACAAAACCTGGGAGCTGAACGCCCTCACACACTCCCTCACAGTACGCAGTCAAAGTGCAACTTACACTTGCGTGCTCATAATCGCCCAAGAAATACGGAACGAGCGCATCCAGTTTGCTGGTGTCGGTGACAATGGCCGACAGGTTTCCTAGCTCCTCAGGGCGTTTGAACGTGGAGAATGGTATAGTGACGACGGAAGAGCCAAACTCACGCACGGCATAGTTGACGGCAGCGTGATGAACCGAGTTGATGTAGATGATGCGGCGCAGCATAGTTTTTAAGTCATCCACAGTGTTGAGGCTTTGAACCATGCTCTTGTTCTGCACATTCACACCAATACACCAGGATGACCATCCATCATAATAATAATAGTGTGGTACCTCAAAGTCACGCAAGCATTAACTTCATAATACTACCACAAGCTCATCACTATTTTTAAAAGAGTGTCCACATGCAGGCACAGTGATACAGAGAGCAATGGTCACAGTCAACACACACTGGTCACAGGAGTTGAATTGTCCTCGGGTCATGCAGAGTCTGCCGACGACGTCATGCAAGAAGACCCGTATCAGTGGCCATAAGACTCATAAAGATTACATTATCATATAATATAATTATTATGATGTGCAGTGTGTACCGGATGCTGGGTGTACAAATCCTGGACGTATTCCTGCAGAGCACTGTCACGCTTCACATCCTCCTCCGAGCAGTAGTAGCTGTGTGTGCAAGCAAAGACAAGAAGGACAGTATATGTGAGCAGAATGATAAGATGGTTGGCCATTACTTCAAGCGGGCACTCAGAAACAAAGCAAACGCCTACCACCATTACAAATGCTTGAACACCGTCAATACCTATGCCAGGCTAATCTGCGAGGTGCCCTGATCTAGCAACACGTTTGCCAAGCGGTTCATGCGAGTTTTTGATCTATTGTCTCATGTGTATGTGTGTGTGTGTGTGTGTGTGTATGTGTGTGTGTGTGTGTGTGTGTGTGTGTGTGTGTGTGTGTGTGTGTGTGTGTGTGTGTGTGTGTGTGTGTGCGTGTGTGTGTGTTCAAGTGGGGGGGGGGGGACTTCGTAGTAGATTCAGAATTACCAAAATGTGTGGCAGCATGCTGCACACACTGGGGAAACATGGATACAGAGAAGCATGTGAAATATTTTGCGGATTTGTTTCACCCTCCCATCGCCTGTACAATAGTATGATTGAGACACCGGCATGTGCTCGTACAGTATCAGGCATACATAAGTGCAGGAGTCTTACTGATCAACATAATCCGAGACGCATTGCTTGATGACATCGTGTACCAGCTGCCCATCATCACGGAACGAGTAGTTCTGGAGAAACTCCTGATTGTCAACACCTCGTACCTACACGACCGGGATAGAGGGTAAGGTAGAAGTGACATACTACAATAAATAACTACATGTAAAAGAAGATGGCAACGTCTCGACTCCCAATGCACACTGCAAGAGAATACTTGACTGGACAAGCCAGAAGGAGGGAAAGCAGTTGCATGCACAGCTGCCGTATGTTACCATGGTTATTATTATTATTATTATTTCACAATCACGATGACATAGTGCCAATAAGCATGTGATGCGGGCGATTTTAACCAGCCATGGTGGGAACAACTGAGAAAAAGAAGGAGAAGAAAAAGAGAAAAGAAAAGAAAACAAGAGTACTATAGGAACCTGGAGAGAGCAGTATGAAGATTAGGCTAGCAATGGAAAACAACGAATTCAATTCAATTCAACTTAGGCGCGGGCAGAATGGAACAAAATGCAGCGAAGGTGTCACGAGACTTTACCTCCTGCGGAAGCCGAGACCAATGAGAATAGGACTTGAACAGAGGGGATTTTAAAAGGATCGATGACCTGGCAAGTGGGAAATGGAGAGAACATCTAGTACGCGAGCTATTATTGAACCAGCTTAAATGCGCAAGTGCATGAGGAGGAGCAAGTTGAAGCTTAATACGGTGAATGAATTTGCATGCCGAGTGGGGAAAGCGTTCTGAGAGAGGGGAAGAGGAAGCCAAAATGTATAGCGTCTGAGAGGAGGTTATTCGCCGTGCTGGTGCCATGACATGCAGCAACACTGGCCAGCTGTTTTTCAGAAAAAATATTATTTACAGTTATACCACACAGTGCACCACCTCCATGCCGCGAGTACTCGCCCATGCATTGCAAGTATCTGTAACTCCCCATCCATGCAGTACTCACCCATGCATTGCAAGTATCTGTAACTCCACATACATGTACTAGTACATAATCCATATCATAGGCTTAACAACAACGTTAGCTACACACGACTGAGGTACGCTGCTTTATATCTCCTTCAATGGCGTCCGATGATTGGCTGTTTAAAAACCATGAAACTCTGAGTCACTACAAATAAGCCCCTTACGTTCCTTTGTATAGCTCTTGTGTACGGCACTCTGCCCACCTCATGCATTGAGCACTCTAGCACTGGTTAAAAGGCGCACTGCCTCTGTCCTGTAATAGCTAGGTTTATACTCACCACCAAGTCTTGCTCAAAGTCCATCTTCTCATACGTCCAATGCTCGTAACCGACTTCAATCAGATCCAACAGACCCTTGTGACCGAAGCCAGCAATTTGCGACACGCTGCCGTTGGCGGGCGTCAGGAGTTGAAATCCCATTGTGTTGATCGGGATAAGGCCCTGGAAAACGAGAGAAGACGACGACCGGCTCGATCAGGTAGGCTAATGAGAGGATTCCTGTGCCCTCGTCAATCCCATCTGTCACTTAGCTGTGCATACACAGCCATGCATTGGTATTGATGCAGTACCTCTGGACTCTTATGTGGCCAAGCGTGATCGGATGATCATCCGCTTCCAGTGTCCTCTAAACGCAGACCTTTTCACACCCTCGCATGGCTCTGAGTTTTTAGAAATCTTTTACGGCTTGCGTAAGACTCATTCGTTTTAGACTGTACAAACAGGGTCTGGGCCGTGACATGACCGGTCTCATAAGACAGGTGGTCTTTCTACACAGGTTCAAATGTATGTAGTAGCATGGTAGGGGTCCTAAATGGACCGGTCTCATAAGACATGTGGCCCCGTCTTTCTACAGAGGTTCAAATGTATGTAGTAGCATGGTAGGGCTCCTGAAATGACTGATATCACAGGACAGGTGGTCTTTTAACATAGGTTTTACTGTACCTCGAAATGGAACTTGAGAATTTGGTACACTGGATGCTGTTCGGGAAGCTTGCGGTGCATGGAAACAGCAAACGACTCAGAGATCAGATGAGCATTAACCAGATGGTGGACGATCTGCGAAACAAGACCGTCAGCGTTGTTCACGTACAACTTGGCAACCGTCCACCAGAAGAATGAGCTGCCTTGCGGGGTGCACACCCAGGACGAGGCTGGAGAGGAGGCATGCAGAGTCACAGACGCAACCGGGAAGTGATTTGTACAGCAAGACATGATTGTATTGTGCAGGATTTATCAGCGGTTTAGGGTGGCAGCCATGCAATGCATGATAGACTGTTTAAATGAGCGGGGGGGGGGGGAGGGGGGGGGGGGCAGCAGGATCACACAGGTCCATGCATGATAAACTGTTTGAATGGGGGGGGGGGGGGAAGGAAGAAGGGTCATGCAGGTCTATGCATAAATACTAGGGGTGAAACGGTTACCCTTTAAGGTAACAAACGGGTATCTGGCTTAACGGGCGGGTTATCGGGTACCCTTTATCCGCCATACTTTTTCCAAAAGCGTTGCATTTGCTTGTGATCGTAAGCGCAACATGTCTTTTACAGGCATTCTGATAGGAGAGAGATTTTCGGGCAACAATTTAGCTACAGTAGCCTTCCGGATTTCACGCCAGGAGGATATGCGAAGTCATGCAAGTACACTACACCGCGACAAGCACAGCGTGCACAATCACTGTGCTACATGCAAACAGTCAAAATAGTCGTAGCTACAATGGATACCGTGATATGTAGCAGGATTGAACGAGGACAAACACACTCAAAACTGTGCACTGAACTGTACAACTGTACAAGCAAGCTTATAATACTGTTAGGTACCTCCTTCCGTACCTTTTCTAGCTGGCCTGCATGCACTCGCGTACTCACCTTTTGTCTCCTTTTGTTCCGTTGGCCTGGGTAGCTACTTGCGCGCCCAGAATTGCCATAGCTACCCAGGCCCTTTATCTTGCCGTTCAGACTTGATCTCTTCCTCTCTTTTCTCACTCTTCAATGTAGTCGTTTCGTTCGTCTTGGTCTCTTGTCTCGTCGTCTATAATAAATGTCGTTCCCCCAACCTACCTGTTCCCGTTGTAATGTCTGGGTAATATGTCGTCAGTCGTCCTTTTCGTATTCAACAATACTGTACCCTACAATCCTACACGACTAACGGGTACTCGTTTGCTAACGGATCAGCAGCTAAACAGACGGGTACCCGGGTTACCCGGATCACCCCTTTCACCCCTAATAAATACCATTGGTCATGAATACAAACAATGAATGATGTTTGTGAGTAGGATGAATGAGCACCCCCCACGGTTCAATCTTCAGTCATTATGCTAGTTCAAGACCTCATCCACTCTGGATCACGGAGATGCAGATTACACATGCATGTGGTGCAGATCGTGAGTTTCTCACCAGTGTGTCCTAACTGGATAGCGACGGGCTTCAACGGATAGGAGTCGTCATGGGTGGATAGGAAAAGTGCGATAGGCGCCATCATGAATCGGTTGGCATAGGCACCAGGAGCATTGACGTCGCCGACGATCTCCGCCAGCAACGGGTAATGCAGAACATACAGCTGATGACGGGCTATAGCCTGTGCACAGAGAAAGGAAGATGTGCATGACAGAGTCAATGCTGTGCACAGAGACAGCAAGATGTGCATGACAGAGTCAATACTGTGCACAGGGACATGAAGATGTGCATGACCAGATGACAGAGCCAAGACACTCGACTAACCTTGGAAATGGAGTCACTCATGTCCCCAGTAGCTTCCTGGATGGCTTGATCAAACTTAGACTTTCCATCAACCACATCAAGATAGGTGGTATTCAACATTGACGCAAGATGTTTCCAGGTAATACCAACACTTGGCTGTCCAGCTACACGCCCACTCTCCTCAGCACCATCCACAACTCTTTGCAGCTGGACAGGGTTGTTGCCCATTAGACGCTCCTGGCCGAAAATGTTGTCGTTCACCCACCTGTAGTCCTGGGTTAGATTAGGGTCATAGCCGATTCCTCTCTTCAGTACAACGCCTCGTGTCGGCTGCGGTGCATCATCACCGTAATGATCCATAAAGTACCTGTACAGCTGGCCGTATTGTGCAATGGTGTTGAAGTTGTCCTTTTCATGAGACGAGTTCTTTTTCCAGTCCAACGCAACCTTTCTTGTAGCGTTCATCGTGATTGTAAACGCTTCGGTCCAGTTCGGCCACAGGTAGTACTCCAGCATCGGGCCTACCGTCGAGTTCAAAAGTCGCGTGCGGTCAATGAGCGGCATCTTGCCGTTCGTGTGGTTCGCATCGTATTGGAACGCCAGTCCAAACATGACCTGGCTTAACCCCGGCATGGTACCGAACTGGCCTCCCCTGCACTCCGTGCTGGCGGTCATGTGATTTAAACCTGCAGTACACAATGCAAACAGCATTCATGATGGACACAATGGCATGCCTCATGTTGAGCTCGGAAGTTGGAAAACTCTGACTAAACATGATTCTACTAAGCTGCAGGTTTCGGGCAAATTTGCTTGTATGTACGAATGCTAATCTGATGTGAGATACGTTAGTGGGCTTCATTTTGGAAGCTTTGGGTAATACGGCGCCAGGGTATTATGGGGCCAGGGTATTATGGGGCCAGGGTATTATGGGGCCAGGGTATTATGGGGCCAGGGTATTATGGCACCAGGGTATTATGGGGCCAGGGTATTATGGGGCCAGGGTATTATGGAGCCAGGGTATTATGGGGCCAGGGTATTATGGGGCCAGGGTATGATGGGGCCAGGGTATTATGGGGCCAGGGTATGATGGGGCCAGGGTATTATGGCGGCAGGGTATTATGGCGCCAGGGTATGATGGGGCCAGGGTGTCGTGTGGCCAGGGTACATGATTGTGCTAGTATGATGAGGGGGCCAGGGTATCATCACAATATCATGGGACGAGGGCAATCGTTGTCCTTACCTCTAGCAGAGACCGTTGCTAGCAGCAACGCTCCAGCCAGCAGTCGCAACAGCATGTTGCTCTCACGCACAGATGCACTCAGACCTGTGCGGCTCATAGCGCCTTGGGCTTGGCGAGATGCTCCCATTTCCTGAACGTCGAAGGCCAAGGTTGAGGTGCAGACAAACGGCAAATAAACTCGATAAGTCGTTGAGTACAGTAGGTGGCTAGGCTGTTCAAGGACAAGATCGCGTCTGAACGGATCGTTGAACTCGACTGCTTGCTGTGCTCTTCGTCTTTCCACTCTCAGCTGTCAACTTGATCTGCTTTCGAAGGTGGCGGTTTGCTTTCTGACAGTTCTTCTCACAAACACTCTCCTTTATAGGACCCGAAATCCGGTGCATGTTGATACACGAAGAAGATACTGATCGCCAAGCAGAGCACCGGGCGGTGTACGGTGTTTTGCCATGGCTGGCTTGGTCGACGCTGGTACATCGACGAAGGTATCGCGAAGGCACACGTTGAACCAGACGGTTACCTTGGGGCTGCATCAGTTGCCGCGATGCAGGATGTCGGATGTTATTCGTAGGCGACGGCTTCGATCTCACCACGCGAGAAAGCGCCATCACAATGTCATGGTCGTTACCTCGTACCGGTCCTGTGTGTGAACCGCAGTGTGAGATACACAGCGATCCCGGACATCTCAGCCATCCAACTATTACTTTGATCGTAGTTGCCCCGACGTCCAAAACCTGCACTAATTATTTCAGCTAGTAGCTCATATATACAAGTAAATAGTTGGAACATTTCGCGTCCGCTTGTGCTCAGTCGATGTCAGTGCAGAATGAGATGAATCCTTCTCTTGCGTAATAACCTGCGGCCCGGCTGCACTCACTACCATTACATGTACCAACCCGTCACGGCGTGTCCTCACATGGCGGATTGAGAACGTTTGGGAAAGGTTGAGTCACCTGGTCACTGACGAAAGCAACCAGCTCCATGCCTTGTCCTGCATGTGGGCCAAAACCATAAAACCCAACACGCAAAGCTTTGCGTAATGCTACTGCAAATACACCGCGCGCTGGGCCGCACCTGGCACACTACACGTACACAGACATCGGTAGATCATGATACACCTGCGGTAGATCTACCAAGAGAAAATAAGTAAGTTCTGGGAAGTCAGGAACTGCGGTGGTACGAGTACATAATTATATCTACTGACTACGGAGTCTACACTATTACTAGTATTAGTTGTGTAGTGTGTATGCCTGGTATAAATAAGGCTGGTCGAGTATGGACTTGTGAGTTGTGGCAAACCATTGGCATTAGGCATTACCTGGCAGGCTGCATGTAGCCAGTTAGCTAGGTCCGTCCCTCGGTATGTCGGGCCGCGGGCAGGGAGTAGACCGATGCGTCAGGGACCCTGCCCGGCACCATCACTCATCAGGGAATACTAAAAAACAGTTGGGTAGACCCTACACACTAGATCTACCATGGTCCACGTGGTCCCGTGCCGCATACTTCAACACTACACTTCCTTTTCCCGTCAGGCGTGAAGTACGACTACGACTCCGAGTCCACGCAGCGAATTTTTGGCTTGTGAATGAGTAAGGACTTTTAAAAGTGTGCTATACTGGGACCGGACAACACCTTTTTCTGCACGCCAGGAAGACAAAAGTCCGATACCAAAGCCAACGCAGAAACAAACAAAGAGAGGGTAATGCTACTTCCGCTGCCCGATGCGGTGTTTGCTGAAGTCGCTACCACTATTATCGTACATGTCATGTAAATCGCACATACAGTATTTGTTCCTCCCACTTCTCAAGACCTTGGCTTCAGTACATGACTATTAAAGGGGAAGTTAAGGCAAAAATTAAAATTTCACTAGTTGTAGTCTTCGGGGTGCTGAGTCGAATGGTCGTGGTCCGAGGAAGCTGAGACGCTCCCTTCCTACTTGAATCCCAATCGAACTCGCGCACTTCCACCGAAACTGGGTGACTGCGCCCTACTAGATGGGGATTTGTATGCAAAATGTCACTAAAAGCGCCATTTCGTTCTTATAAAAGCATGGATGACCGCGATTGGCCCATATGTTGTAGTCTTTTGGACGCTGAGGCGATTGGCTTTGGTCCGAAAAGGCTGCGATGCAGCGTTCCTCCTTTATTCCCAATCGAACATGGTTGAACAAGTGGTCACGTGCTCCTGCGTACGCCAGTCACCTGGTCACCATGGTCACCGTGCCTGCAGGGTACAACTTACTAGCCTGTTTGACCTTTTTTGGGTGCAGTCCAGTCACTCGAGTTGAACCTTGGTGTGAAAGTTGTCGCCTGCTGGCGTGGTGACCAGGTGATTTGGGCACCCAGGAGCACGTGACCGCTTGTTCAACCATGTTCGATTGGGAATAAAGGAGGAACGCTGCATCGCAGCCTTTTCGGACCAAAACCAGTCGACTCAGCGTCCAAAAGACTACAACATATGGGCCAATCGCGGTCATCCGTGCTTTTATAAGAACGAAATGGCGCTTTTAGTGACATTTTGCATACAAATCCCCATCTAGTAGGGCGCAGTCACCCAGTTTCGGTGGAAGTGCGCGAGTTCGATTGGGATTCAAGTAGGAAGGGAGCGCCTCAGCTTCCTCGGACCACGACCATTCGACTCAGCACCCCGAAGACTACAACTGGTGAAATTTTAATTTTTGCCTTAACTTCCCCTTTAATATTGTAGGGGAAACTGAGTATGAACCAGCTAGAGCCTGCTACGATGGGAGGCTAACATATCGCTTCATGACTGCGGTCATTTGGTCAAACTGCTGCCCCTCACGCAAGTACAAACACAGCCAGTTACCTTGCAAGTTCAGCACAGACGTTTGCTGAAGCTATTCATTCATGGATCGCGGCCTTGGAGGCTTTTGATTTTGGTTTAGTGCAATACGCTAATTCGAAGGCTCCTTTGGAGACAACTGGATTCCTATAGCAAGTGGGTTTCCTTGGGAAAGATCATTGATGATAATGCATATCAAAATCTGAAATACACAGGTCGGCAGAAGAGATGTGCCACACCATCAATACCACCTGCTGATATTATATGTATAACTCCTACTGGTTACTGCACTGATGATGCACTACTGTACAGACAATAATTATGATGATGATGATTAGTACAATGATTATGCATGCTAGTAGATCTACCTGACGCTCTGAGCATGTTCTGAGCAGTGGTGTCTACATAGATCCACCTGGTGTTCTGAGCACGCATAGCCGGTAGATATGAATATCACCAAGAGTACCTTAGTGCACATTGTCCTCCTCTTGCCACCTCTCTGACTGAACCCTAACGACAGTAATTATGATAATAATTATTATTCTTACATGCATGAAAAAGCATCTTGCGGCGGAGGGCAGAGGACGGATATAGACAACAGCGACAGTAGTGTTTTCCCAGTTGCATAACCGCGAGTGGCGCGCCACTGAACACCACATCCGCGCCCATCAAGCGAAGCTGGACACCAGCAGCAGTACGGGTCACGGTTGGTCCCGAACCTTTGTCGATGTCATAATAACACAGTTGCGCATAATGGAACATTAATATTGTGCAACACTAATGTTCGATCCGCCGCTGTCTCTTGATGAATCTTTCCGTTGTTCTAGTTCAGTATAATTAGTTGTAGACCATCGCTCCCCATGCCGGTTTGTCCCTTGCCCGCTTAGTCGCCAGGCCGAGATCCCGCACTGTGGTGAAAGTCATTCCGGCCTCTCTCATGTCCTCCACAACGCTGGTTGCCAACGTCTTTCTTGGGCGCCCTGGCCGGCCTCGGGAGTCTTGGGTCAAGTAGATGTTCATGGCTTTGCGGGCGGGAGCGTCGGGGGACATTCTCAGGATGTGTCCTGTCATTCTCCTCCTTCGCTGTCTAATCAGGGTGGATATTGGGCAGGTTTCACAACGTTCGTACAGATGTTCATTGCTGACTTTGTCTTGCAGCTTGATACCCAGGATACATCGAAGTTGCTTTCTGTGGAATACGGCAACCTTGGAGAGGTTTCCTGCCGTCAATCCCCATGCCTCACAGTTGAATAGGAGACTCGGGAGGACAATATCATTGTACAGACGTAATCTTTTCGTCTCTGCGATCTGCTCTCTCCTCAGCCACATCTCTCTCTCAACCAAACAACAACCGTATCCCCTTGGCAGAGAGATATCTCTTGTTTGCTTCATCACCGACACGTTGAATTCTGCGAATCCTATGCGACAGCTGGTTTGTCGATGTCACATAAATTATGTAAACTCTGGTGACAAAGGCATCATACTGTATCTCCGCGAGAGGTAATGTTGTTTGGGTGATCGGGTGAAGCACCTGCCCAAACGCGGTTTACCAAGCGTATATTTGTGCACTGGTAGGTCTACGCGTGCTGAAGACCAACAGTGGTAAAGATATCATACATTTATACCTCATTCCATATTCACCCACATACAATCTACATAAGTGGTGAATATTGCTGAATATTCACCACTTTTCGATACGTACATGTACTGTAAAGAGAGCAGTACTCGGTGCTGCGCTCGATTTCTCTTCAGTCAGCGCACTGGAGCTGTCGAGTGCCCTAGAAATTTTCTACGCTAACTTCCGTAGACAGGACTTTCCTGAGTACAAACGAAATAATTCCTTGCTTGCCATTGCCGCTGGATCCGCATGTGATCAGGTGCTGACAGTGAGCATCTTCACAGACGGAGCGTTCCAGCGAGCAAACAAGGTTTTGGACGCTCAACATGTCAATGGCCCGATGATTGCGGATCAAGCGGCAAGCCAGGAATTTCGTTTGTACTCAGAACAGCCCTGTTCAAGGACGTTAGCGTAGAATTTTCCTAGGGCACACAACAGTTTCGAAGCGCTGCCTAAAAAGAAAAGAAGTGAGGGTAGAACCGCTTGGCTCGCTGTTATAAACCGACTCCCGAATTGGCGCGATGATCGCGGATTGGTCAAATCTTCGCGTGAAACGAAACCTCTCTCTGATTGGTCAAATCTTCGCGTGAAACGAAACCTCTCTCTGATTTGTCAAATCTTCGCGTGAAACGACACCTCTCTAATGATTGGCTCCCGCCACAAAGCTGCACGAGCGTGTTCTCCATGGTGATTGGCTCGAGCGTGTTCTCCAAGGTCGTCACCTCCCATGCCACATGCACCAGTACGTGTACACGATCGATTGAAAAAGATTCTGGACACGCCGCCCTCGGATTCAGGCAAGAACATGCCAGTCGGTCTGAAGGTTCAGTGAAGCAACAACGACTTACGTTAGTTCTGCGTACATGTACTTTGTACATGTACATGTATGACCAACAGGACTCGTTTGTTGGGTTTTAGGGACGAGAGGGTAAATATGGAGAGGTATAAGTCTAATATTACCTTCAGCCTCGTGAATATGGGCGAATATTCACTAGTTATACAAACCTCGGTTTGTATACTAGTGAATAATATTCGCCCATATTCACTCGGCTTCAGGTAATATTATATACGTATTAGCTGGCCATGCTGTAGACAACAGGTACATGATTGTATTACATGACTGTACAGGTGCAGTTAACTTCGCTAATAACGACTGCGGATATAACGACAATTCGCGAATAACGACAGAATGTCCTTGCCCAGAGCAAAGTTCCATCCAACTGTAATACATATAATGGGACTTCGGGTATAACGACACTTCGCGAATAAGGACACTTTTTTGATGCCCCGCCGAATGTCGTTATAAACGAAATTGACTGTATTAGCAAGACTACATGTAGAGTATGCAACCCCGCATGCTCTTGGTATTAGGATATGGTGCAAGTCATCTATTATGAGGCTTACATTGTGGGCAGGGTATTGTACGTGCTACTTTAGATTTGTGTTGGGCTTCAGTTCCCGTTATGGTAACACAGTCTTTCTTCAGATTCTTGGCATTAA